AATATTTAAGAACAGTTTGCTTAGGATGCTAACAGTTCTCTTATCTCTGTCCTTCAAGCAAATATCAACACTGACCAAGCGTTCCAAAAACCTTTTGCCAGCTTTGTTCTGCCTCCTGCCACCATCCGGATAGTAGAAACTCAGGAGAAGATAGAGTCATAGAATTACAGCGTTGGAAACGGGCCATAGAGGCCATCTAGTCCAGCCCCCTCTAATCAATGCAGGATCAGCCTAGAGTATCCCTGACAAGGGTTTGTTCAGCCACTGCTTGGAGACTGCCAGTCAGGGGGAGCTCACCACCTCCCAACGCAGCCGATTCCACTGTTGCACAACTCTGACTGTCAAAACGTTTTTCCTCATATCCAGCCGGTACCATCCCGCCCCTTAATTTCAACCCATTCTTGCGAGTCCTCTCCTCTGCTGCCAACAGGAAGAGATACAAGACTACCACCACAAGCTTGCCTCCTCCATACTGCGAACACACTTTGGCTGAGAGGGGCATGCCAAATCACACATTTGGGAGAGCTCCTTTGCAAATTTCCTACACGGGTGCCGCTCCATCCTCCCCTACGCAAGACTGTTCAACAGCTTTTCCAAAACGATTTGCTATGTTCACAAGCATTAGAATGCAAGACAGTCACACTTGAGTGGTGTTTCTATGAGCATAAGAACAAAGAGATGCCAATGTTGGATCAGGCCAAAGGCCCATGCAGTCCAACACTCTGTGTCACACAGTGGCCAAAAACACCAGGGGCCATCAGGAGGTCCCCCAGTGGGGCCAGGACACTAGGAGCCCTCCCACTGTACCCCCCCAAGCACCAAGAAGACAGAGCATCACTTGCCCCAGAGCCCCTATCTATACCTTGTGGCTAATAGCCACTGATGGACCTCTGCTCCATATGCTTTTCTAATTCCCTTTTGCACTCACTATGAGACATGAACACAAGAAACTGCCTTCTACTGAATCAGATCCTTGGTCCGTCAAGGTCAGTACTGTCTACACAGACTGGCAGCAGCTCTCCGGGGTCTCAGGCAGAGGTCTTTCAAATCACCTGGTCCTTTAACTGAAGATGCCGGGGATTGAACCAGGGGCGTTCTGCATGCCAAGCAGACGCTCTCCTACTGAGCCCCAACTCCTACAAAAATACATGAAGCTGCCTTATACTGAATCAGACCACTGCTCTATCAAGGGCAGTATTGTCTACTCAGACTGGCAGCTGCTCTCCAGGGTCTCAGGCTGAGGTTGTTCACATCACTTATTGTCTGGTCTTTTTAACTGGACACGCCAGTGACTGACCCAAGGGCCTTCTGCACACAAAGCAGACACTCTACCATTGATACAAAGCCCTTCAACTAGGCTACCAAGACCACAGACACAGGGCTGTTTTTATCCAGTTTTTTCAACCTCTTCTTTAATATGCTGTATAACACTCTTTGTCCTCACCCAGAGAGGTATCACAACACGAGGGGAGCACTAGCAGGGACTCTTCAAACTCAACTCTTTGGTGTGGAACAATTTCACTCCCTAGGAAAAAAGCACCGCTCAGCACAAACCTGGGATAGTCTCTCGCCGCTTCCCTGAACAAGGTTCAGCTTGCGGGGAAAGGCAAAGAACACAGTACAGCACGTAAGAAGGGTTAACACCGCAGCACGGTCTCCGTTCCAAAACGACCATTTAAAACACGACTAAATGTACCCAAAGGATGTCTCGAGACACACAGCTCTGCAAGTAACAAGAATAGCTGCCTGCCTGCCTACCTATGAACGCTGCCCTTAGTTCCTGCAGTAACAAACCTAAAGTTCACCAGAATTCCAGCCCAGCCACTAGAAGAGGCCCAGGGAAGGAACACACTTCTCTGCACAAGCCTGCATGGGAAAGAAGGGTGACAAGGTGACTGACGGGCAAACAGCCCACACCTGACGAGCATTCCTCCTCCTCCTATGGACAGGCATGTTGTTTCTCCTGTGATTTTCAGAGATGGTCGCTAAGAGGAAAGACACAGCGTGCGAGGGGGCGTTGCATGCCTTTTGCTTTGCTGGGCTTTAACCATTTCTGACTGCATGAAGAGGGCCGTGTTGACACATGAGGCTGCCTTACACTGGTGAACTTTTCCGTCACCGACCATCTGACCCTTTACTTTAAACAAGGGCTTGACACGGGCACTTTTGGGGATGCCCCAAACAAGCAACCACTGTGATATAAATGACAAGAACACTGAGAAAGTATTTTCAAGCTAATCATATACTCTTTTATAAATAAAACTTTACAATATTACTAAGAAAAAGTCCATCGTTCTCAAGGAAAAGTCCATCATACTCCATGAGCGCTCAGATATAAACTCATTTCGTCCCCATCTTCCTCAGGCGTAATCCTATTATGCTGAAAGGTGTCAGCCTCTTGATACAGCTCTATGTTTTGTTAGGAACAAACCGATGCTTGACTTCTTAATTTTCTTCACAATGTTCTGGAAAAAAAACATGGTTATTTAGAATGAAAAGCAACATGAAGCTGAATGGAATATTGTTTTTTATACATTTTAATTTCCCCCCCCAAAAAAATTCTATTCTTTTTATCATTTTTAACTTTTAACTTCCTTCTGGGTCCATTTCAAGTGTTTGAATATGAGCAAGCCAGTTATTATTATATATAATTATTATACTATGATAAACAATAATAACTGGCTTGCTCCTATTCAGACACTTGAAATGGAACCAGAAGTTAAAAGTTAAAAATTATAAAATAGAATATTCCATCCAGCTTCATGTTGCTTTTCATTTTAAATGACCATAGTTTTTTCCAGGACAATTTGAAGAAAATTAACAAGTCAAGCATTGGTTTGTTCCTAACAAAACATAGAGCTGTATCAAGAGGCTAACACCTTTCAGCATAATAGGATTACTCCTGAGAAAGATGGGATAAAATGAGTTTATATATCCGGGTGCTCATTGAGTATGATGAATTTTTCCTTGAGAATGATGGACTTTTCTTAGTAACATTGTAAAGTTTTATTTATAAAAGAATATGATTACCTTGAAAATATTTTCTCAGTGTTCTTGTCATTTGTATCACAGTGGTTGCTTGTCTGGTGTATTTCCTTTTCACTGCGACCCCCTCTTCGTTTACTTTTGGAATGCTGACACATCCTGGTGGGCGCAGCCACAAAATGGCTGCTGCAAGGGGTGGAGCCAGCTACAAGGGGTTGCCCCTGGCTGACCTTCAGTCACACAGTGAAGGCCCTTGTGCTGTGGTGGCAGCTGCTTGCCAAAGCAGTGTTTTTTAAAAACATCTGCACTGCCAATCAATAGCCTTCCTTGACGAAAGCACCACCTGGCACCAATGTTCCCTCTAAGTGGTGGAATCTTGTGAGCAACAATTCGACTTTGTGAGCTACTGGCAAAAACGTGTGAGCCAGAGGCTAAAAAACTGTGAGCTGGCTCACACTAACTCAGCTTAGCGGGAACACTGCCTGGCACCACCCGCTTTCCAAAAAAGTTTGGTGGGCGCCAGAAAAGGTGTTGACAGGCACCATGGCAGCCACAGGCATCCCACTGGGGACCTCCAATCAATGATCCCTTCTAAGCTATGGAGTCTTGTGAGCAAAAATTCTACTTTGTGAGCTACTGGCATTAAAGTTGTGAGTGAGCGATTTGGCTGCTGCATCACTTAGTTTGCTCTGGAGCCATCCTTCCTGAGCCAAGACAAAAATGTGTGCACCGGAGGCTAGAAAATCGAACCAGCTCACACTAACTCAGCTTAGAGGGAACACTGCCTGCAACACGTAGCTTGTGAGCTACCAGTCACTCGGCGGCAGCTGCAGAATGGCCTGTGCATTCACAAGAAGTCACAGGAAAAGACCACAAAAGCTTTTAAAATATACAGCTTAAAGCTTTTATTTCATAGGATTGCTTTTCTCTGTGCTGCTTAGCCGATGCTTCATTTCTGGTACTCTTCTAGTCCATGTTCCAGATTCAGGACAGAACAAAACTTGGTTAACATGTCAGTGGACGGGGGACAGGACAGTTCAAAAATATTTTTTATTACTGGCAATCCCTGCTTTAACTGGAGATGCTCGGGACTGAACACGGGACCTTCTGCATGCAACGCAAGTGCTCCACGGAGCCACCGCATGTCGCTGTGTTTAAAACTTTGCTGTATTTAAAACTCCCTGTATGCACAACACTGGTGCACCAGTGAAAGACTTTCCACATTCGTTTCATAGGGTAGCTGTGTCGTTCTGCGGTCAGACAGCTAAGTTTGCTTTGAGTCTCGAAAACGTATACCCCGAAAATCTTGTTGGCCTCCTAAGGTGCTCGTGGACTCGAATCTAACCTTCCACATTAGTTTCTCTCTGACATATGCAGTGTTGAGCCTCCAGGACATTTTTAAAAGATGGGAGCAGTGTTCCCTCTAAGCTGAGTTCGTGTGAGCTAGCTTACAGTTTTTTAGCCTCCGGCTCACACGTTTTTGTCTTAGCTCAGGAAGGATGGGGCTCCAGAGCAAAATGATTTATGCAGTAGCCAAATCGCTTGCTCACAAACTTAAATGTCAGTGGCTCACAAAGTAGAATTTTTGCTCACAAGACTCCACAGCTTAGAAGGAGCATTGGATGGGAGCAACACCGAAACACAGGATCGCTCACTTGCAGCCCCAAACGGTAAGACCCAGCAAGAACCACATCATGCAACGGCTGTCCCGGCTCCGCGCCATGAGAGCGAGAGCCAAAGGTTGACCGAAAGGCCCCTCCCCCCAGGGTTAGTCTATTCAGGCGCAGCTTAGCCAGAGCAAGCAAGAAGACAGCGCATGCCTCTTAGGTGGAGGATAGCTTTGGAAAGAGAGAGCTCATTCTGCCTCACCTCCCCCCCCCCTCTTAAATTATGGTGAGAAAAGCCCCACACGCAGTCTATGAAAGGGGGGAGGGGGATGTATCTGTGAGATATGCCACAGCTAGGAAAAATGGATGCAGTCTAGCCAGCTGGTGAGAGAGCGCCCGGGTACTCACTCCGGCCAGCGACTTCTGGATATTCTCCCTGGCTCTGGCAATGTCGCGGAGGATCGTGCTGGCTCCGTTCTCCTGCAAACAGTGCAGAAAGAACCAAGTGTTGTTGTTTTTTTTAAATAAAGGTACACACAGATACAGCAGCAATTACTGAGGGTGGATCATGCGAAAGGAAGGGAGAACGCGTGAAGCGAATGCCGTGGAAAGGTAAACCCCCAATTTCCACCTGCGGGATGCCCTCAGAAGCCCTCTCGTACATGTCCTGGCACAGAGCACTGGGACACCCTAACAGCCCCCCCCCCCGCTTCCCTATCAGACAGGGCAGGTGTTCATGACCAGTGTTCCCTCTAAGCTGAGTTAGTGTGAGCTAGCTCACAGTTTCTTAGCCTCCAGCTCACAGATTTTTGTCTTAGCTCAGGGAGGGATGGCTCCAGAGCAAAAGAATTTATGCAGCAGCCAAATCGATTGCTCACAACTTTAATGCTCACAGAGTAGAATTTTTGCTCACAAGACTCCACAGCTTAGGAGGGAGCATTGTTCATGACCATTCCCCAGAGCGTCTCACGGGCTTTTCCAGCTGAGCCTATGTTTCATAGCACAGTGGCGTGCTAGCTTCGCGCTGGCACAACCATTTCCAGACCCTGTCTCCGCATGCCCCGAGCCCAGAAAATAAGGCGAGCTATCGTCTGTCAGACAGAAACCAGAGGGAGCAAGGGGTCCCAGCACCAAGAATATTCTGAACTAACGGGGCCCAACGTCTAGAGTCAGAATTAAGCAGGCACATGGCTTCCGATGTTTTAAAAAATAAGTAAAAGTAGGATTATGATGGTAAGGGAAGCAGATAGAGTTAGCGGGGACAGAACTGCCAGTGACTAATGCCACACCTTCCCCCAGGACCAGTGGTCCCGCTGAGCTAGTGTGAGCTAACTCACAGTTATTTAGCCTCCGGCGCACACATTTTTGTCCTAGCTAAAAAGGAACGGTACCAGAGCAGACTACGTTATGCAGTAGCCAAATCGCTCGCTCACAGCTTTAATGCCAGTCGCTCACAAAGTAGAATTTTTGCTCACAAGACTTCACAGCTTAGAAGGGGTATTGCCCAGGACCCCTCTCCTCTGAGCCTTCGCCAGCTACCGCCCGTATCTCCACACATATCTCCAACCGGTGTTCCCTCTAAGCTGAGTTAGTGTGAGCTAGCTAGCTCAGTTTCTTAGCCTCCAGCTCACACAATTTTGTCTTAGCTCAGTAGTTCACAAAGTAGAATTTTTGCTCACAAGACTCCGCAGCTGAGAGGGAGCATTGTCTCCAATCCCTGTAACGTGAGATTTTTCAGCATGCCAGACTCTCTACGGGACTCCACATCCGCCCTCTTCAAAACTCTGTCAAATGCCTTTGAGCTTCTGAGTTTTACTTTGACCCGGGCTGTCTCTTGGCATAGAAACTGGACGTGGAAAGTCAAACTACATTCTCAGAATCACAGACAGGCACATAGCCAGGATTTCCTGGTGGGGCTGAAGTTCTCAGTGCAGAAAGAAAAGCCATTTAGCCAATCGAAAGCTGTGACCAGGAGAGATCTCTGAATTGCAAGCTGTCAGCCGCTTTAGATGACAGTCGCTGCTGCAAGTTAATCCCTTCTGCCAGCCTAAGCAACAATTCTGATAACAAGCTGGCAGGTGAGGGTGATGACTTCCACAGTCCAGAAAGCTTACACTTAGGCAAGAAAACTCTCTTCAAGGAGACCAGTTTCTTGACAGAGTTAGGAGGGACCTGGAGGTCACCTACTCCAACCCCCTTGCTCAGTGCGGGAATTAGTCAACTACGGCACCCCATTCTGCTTCAAGGAGCACATGCCTTTTAAAAATGTTTACAGGAGAAATTCTTGTGGGGCTGTGCCTTTAAGAAAGGGGGCAGGGCTCCCAAAAAGCCCCACTGTAGCTATGGGCCTGCTCACAGCCCCAGTGGTGACAAGCGGAAGAGCCTGTGGCACACATTCCAGACCGTTATCCTCTGCAAACAAACCTAAAATTAGTAGGCAGCACCAGCACCTACAGCAACATTGTCCAAATTTTGGATACTCGGGGCACGGGGTACCCCCTCCCATTTAAAACGGGAGGTCCTTTTTTATTTTCAAGATGTTTCTAGTGTTACAGGGAGAGGGATTTCTTATTTCAGAAATTTACTTTTTGTGGATACGGCAAATGATTCTTGTTCTCTCTCTATTTTTTTTTAAGAGGAATTTCTCTTTCATTTCTCCTTGTAGAGAAATCGCAGCCCCCTTCTGTCACCTCAGCCCCAGCAGCTGTTGTATATTGCATGCCGCAGGGTGGTGCTCTCGCAAGAGGACAGGAAAGTCTGGGAAGACATTGCCTGCCTCTGAGCATCTACACAGTGAAATTCTGCAGAACCTCCCTTCCCGCCCCCCTCCTCTCTTCGAATTTCTCCGTGATCAAAATGGGAAGCTGATGAAGACGCTGGCTCCAAATTCCCCCCAAAAAAGAGGTACGGAAAAGAATTGCTAGATTCCAGGAAGAAACTGGGTAGTGAGAAATTAGGAGATTGCAACTGCTGTACAGGTCTCAAAATGGTGAACAGGCATTTTCCTGGCAGCTACCGGAGAACACAGGCAATGCTGCTTCTTCAGCAACCCCACCCTCCGCTTGACCAAGCCAGACGGGGCTCAGGGAGGGGACCAGGCCTCCCCCCCCCCCCCCCCCCCCCGCATGCTGGCGACAGTCAGAAAGTGTAAAGCTCACCCATGGAATCCCTCCACGCTCTCTCACTCGGGTTGGTGTCACTTCCTCTACATGGGGGGGGGGGAAATGGGGGAACAACGCAGACCAAAGCTGCATGGCACCTTCCCGCTCACAGTGGGCTGGGTTATGCTTCAGCCTCTCTCATCGGAGAGCCAGCATGGGGTAGTGGGTAAGAGTGCTGGACTAGGATCTAGGACAGGGGTGTCAAATGTAAGGCCTGGGGATCGGAACTGGCCCGTCCGGGGTTCTTATGTGGCCCGTGAGCAACTAGTGCAAGGGAGGGAACAGGAGACTGTTCGGGGGAAGTGGGCGGAGCCACTCCGATTGTGGCTTCAGCATGGCGGAACGACCTCGTCTGCAACAATCAAGCGGCGTGGGAGCTCTCCGGTCCGCCCATGTGGGTATTCCTTTGCACTCCCCTCCCAGCCCACGGGGGCCTTGCAGTGAGGATACAACAACTCGGGGCTTGCCAGCTGCTATCCTTTATACAGTTTATATCTCCAGTACCTGAGGTTATGTTTTATGGCACACGTGGCCTGGCCCGATGAAGTGGCATTTATGTCATATGCGGCCCTCGTAACAAATGAGCTCGACACCTGTGATCTCGGAGTCCCAGGCTCAAATTCCCGCTCTGCCACAGAAACGTACTGGGCGACCTCGGCCCGATCACACCCTCTCAAACTAACCTACCACACAGGATAGTTGTTAGGATAAGATGGAGGAGAGGAGAATGATAAAAGCCAGGGAACAGAGGCCCCTATGGGGGAGAAAGGAAGGGTACAAATTAAGTAGATGGAATGAATGAATGAATAGGCAGAGTTTGGGAATCATTTTCCTACTAACCAACAGCCATTGATTTTTTTTTTAACCCTGTACCTTAGAAAGCCTCAGTCTACTCCACATTGATGAGAGCCAATTGAGAGAAGAGCCATTGATTTTTTTTTAAAACCCTGTACCTTAGAAAGCCTCAGTCTAATCCACATTGATGAGAGCCAATTGAGAGAAGACGCTGGCCCTCCTACAGGGTTAACAAGTTAACAAGCTTACGGGAGACTCACTTTTATAAACCTTTTGAGTACGGTGGCACCTTTAAGACCAACAAAGTTTTATTCTGGGTATAAGCTTTCATGGTCTTAAAGGCGCCACGGGACTCAAACTTTGTTCTTGCCGCTTCAGACCAACACAGCCTACCCCCACCTGAATTTTATAAATCCGTCAGTCCCAGGAGACGAACCAGGGGAACTGAACTTTTCATTGTTCCAGCATTTTGGGAAAATGGATCATTGATTGTTTATGGATGTTTTATATATGTTTTAAACTGTATTTATGTATGCGTTTTATGCAAGCCACCCTGAGCCTGCCCTTGGCAGGGAGGGTGGGGTATAAACCGATCTAATAAATAAATAAACTCTCGAAAGGTACGTATTCTAGGTGTCACACAATACTCAGTCCCCACTATCTACCCCGGTGGGCAAGAGTGCTCTATGTCCCCCGCTGCCTGCCTCTCTCCAAGACGCTCCCTGTTCCTGCAGTCCGAAAAGGGACCCGGATCCAGCAGAAATGCCACAGAATAAGCCTGGAAGTGGTTATCCGGGCAAGAGAAAGGTGTTGCTAGAAAGACCAGCGATCCAGCTCTTGCAAATCTTCAACTACCGTCCAAGTAACCACCTCTTCAGCTTTATCAGAATTTCCCAGCACTACATATGCCCTTTTCTAAGTCGAGGGAACGGAAGGAAGCAAATGAACAGGAGTTCCATAGGAACGGAGGCATGCTTCATGCGGGAATTAGGTCTGCTGCTGCAACACCCTTCGCTGCTGCTGTTCCAACACCCTGGGTTTAACATAACTTCGAAATAAGGAACATGCCGTTCTCAGTTGTAAAGAAAGCCACACGTGCATACTGCTGTTTGTTCAGCACTAGGCTGCCAAATCTGAATGAAGCTACTTTGAGAAATGTTCTAACCTCCGTTACAGCGCCTCCTTCCTCTCTTCACAGCGGGAGCTCCCAATGTGGCTTTCGAAGCATCATTACATGACCGTTAGAACTACAGGCAGCCATGCCAGATGTTTTCTGCAGCCCTTCCATTGTAAACTAGACAATCAAGAAGGCAGCGAGTTTTTGGTGTTTCTTTGTCATTTTAAGAACATCAGGAGAGCCCTGCTAGACCAGACCAATGGTTCATCTAGTCCAGCATCCTGATTCACACAGTGGCCAACCAGTTCCTCTGGAGGAGCAACAACAGGGCACAGAGGCCCAGGCCTTCCCCTGATGTTGCCTCCTGGTTCTGAGATTCCCCTCAGTCACCATGGCTAGTAGCCATTGACAGACGTATCCTCCATGAATCTCTCTAATCCCCTTTTAAAAGCTGTTTGATCCCATGGCCAGCACTACATCCTCCGGCAGCAAATTCCACGTTTTAATAATTCTCTGTGTAAAGAAATATTTCCTTTTGTATGTCCTCTTCAAGAGCATGCAACATGCACATTATTCTATGCTCACTTATGCTCATTTATAGAGCATTAACTCCCTTAAGACTGCCTGGAACCCTGCCCCAAGAAATCGCTGCAAATGGAATATGGGAAGGGACTCAGTCGGGAACACCTGAGGAAAACATACCGCTTTGAAAACATACCAGGACAGGTCATTGTTGCACACCCTCACAAATTAAACTAGCAGACTTGTAAGGGATACGCAGGGTTTACAAGTGGAAGAAGCCAACCTGCCCAAATCTGAATAAACTGTAAAGATTGCCAACCTTTTCATACTGGACAAGAGGAAGCAGGTGTGGAGAAGGGGGACTACGTACAGATCAGACAATGTCATTTCTACAATAGCAGAGGAACTCTTCACACCCCACACTCAAAATGGACTGCAACAGAAAGTACCTTGCAATGCATCTCCTAGTGTTCTAGCGTGCTAGGTCAGAGCCTCAGAGCACTGGGAAGAGAGGGTGCTTCAAACCAGCCTTGGCCTCCATGCCCTGTTGTCAGACCTCCAGAGAAACTGGTTGGCCAGTGTGTAAGGCAGGATGCTGGACTAGATGGACCCTCACTGGTCTGATCCAGCAGGGAAAGGCCTTGGCTTCTATGCCCTGTTGCTAGATCTCCAGAGGAACTGGCTGGCCACTGTGTGAGACAGGGCGCTGAACTAGATGGACCAGTGGGCTGATCCGGCAGGGCTCTTCTTATGTTCTCATTAGGGGAAGGCCTCACCCTCTCTGCCCTGCTGTCGTCCATTTAGAGGAACTGGTTGCCCCCTGTGTGAGACAGGATGCTGGACTAGATGGACCCTCACTGGCCTGATCCAGTAGGACTTTTCTGATGTTCTCATCAGGGAAAGGCCTTGGCCTCTCAGCCTTGATGTTGGACATCAAGAGGAACTGGTTGGCCACTGCGTGAGATGGGATGATGGACTAGATGGACCCTCACTGGTCTGATCCAGCCCAGGACTCTTATGTTCTTATCAGGGAAAGGCCTCGGCCGCTCTGCCCTGTTGTTGACCCTGCAGAGGAACTGGCTGGCCACTGAGTGAGACAGGATGCTGGACTAGAAGGACCCTCACAGGTCTGACCCAGCAGGGCTCTTCTGAGGTTCTTATTGAGGGAAGGTCTCAATCTCTCTGCCCTGTTGCTGGCCCCCCAGAGGAACTGGGTGACCTCTGTGTGAGACAGGAGGCTGGACTAGAGGGACCCTCACTGGTCTGACCCAGCAGGGCTCTTTTGATGTTCTTATCAGGGGAAGGCCTCGGCCTCTCTGCCCTGTTTGTTGGCCCTTCAGAGGAACTGGCTGGCCACTGAGTGAGACAGGATGCTGGACTAGATGGACCCTCACTGGTCTGATCCAGCAGGACTCTTCTGATGTTCTCATCAGGGGAAGACCTCAGCCTCTCTTCCCTGGTGGGAGACCTCCAGAGGAACTGGCTGGCCATTGTGTGAGAAAAGATGCCGGACTAAATGGACCACTGGTCTGATTCAGCAGGGCTCTTCTTATGTTCCTATTGTCTTAACAGTCCCCCTTCTACTGTGAGATGGGGTGAGAGGGTCTGCTGCCTCTAATCCACAGGAAAAGCCCATCACCTGGCAGGAGAATGGCAGGAAGTCACCATCTTGAAGAACCCCAGGACCATATAGACACCATTGCATGAGGACTCCACTCTTGAGTATTACTTGTGCACATTCTATAAGCAGCTCAGATGCTGCCTGCCTCCGCATACCTGTTGCTGAAGAGGCACTGCTGCCTTCCTGCCCGGCCTGTTGGCTTCTCAGATGTGTCTGGCCAGCTGCTTGCAGGACTCTACGCTAGAGGGACCTCTGGCCTGATCCAGAAAGTAGCTCCCCACAGTCAGCGGAAGCTGAGCTAAGAGCATGGCTGGGAAAGCTCCAGCGTGTAAGTGAGAATAAAAATCTCTACTGCCCTTCCGCCTGCCCCAGAAGCACTCTGGCATCCCCGGGGGACTGATGCCTCCATCCTATTCCCTCCCCCCCCCCCCCCAAGACGGGGGGGGGGAGGTGGGTGCCTCACCTGCTGGCACGAAGGGCTGCAGATGGGACCGTTCATCTGTTCGTAGTGCCGCCTCTCAGCGTCGTCGTACTTGAACTTATCGAACCAGATCTTCTCGTGCATGAGGAAGTTGGCTGCCATTTTTCTGCAAAGAGGAAGAGCCCCAGTGAACGCCTGAGAATGATTCAGCCGAGGAGCCGAGACACCACCACCCCACGTTCGTCACGAATGCTGCACGCTCCTTTCCCCCCTTCAGAATACACACAGTAACCCCTCAACCCCAAACCCACAAACGGGCCTCACGGACCAGGCTGCCTGCTCTGATCTGCTTTTTTTTAACAGGACAGAGCAAACTCGAGCCTCTTTCAGCACCTCTTCTAAATCCAGTTTAACCAGTCTCGGTTAAGCACTTGAAAAATCCACACGGACCAGTCAGAACAACATGGTGAAGAGGCCAGCCTCAGCAACGTGCTGAGAAGGGACTCTTGTCCTGAGATCGCTGAACCACTGGTAGAGGGGCGGAGCACACTGTGTGGAGACAGGAAGGCAGATGCGGCCCCTCCCAGCCCCACAGCGCCCATGTCCCTTCCAAAAGGTTCTGCATAAATGGTGTGTGTGTGTGGGGGGGGGGTAAAAGCTTCCATTCTTGAGCTGGAACGCTGGCTTGCTCAGAATCGAATTCAGAACCAAGCAGTACCTCTCAGGTGTATTGGCCAGGGTCACCAGCCAGGTTGCACGTTTGGTCATCCTGAACAAACCCACTTTCCCAAAAGCAACCTAAAGAAGGAGAATCGCTAGACGTTTCCCCCGTTTGTTTTCTTCAGCTGAGAAGCACTGACATGCAACGACAGATGTGAAACAGGGGTTGGCCGTGGAATCTACTGAAGAAGGGATTAACGAGCACAGATCTATTCCGCGAATGCTTTCCCTTCATAGGTCTAGGAATGGGGGTGGGAGGCGGGACACCGCTCATAGCAGAAGGCCACGTGGGTACTTTTGGGCAGGGGGGCACAATGAAGGATCGTAGGATAAAAAGAATGGGGTGGGGAGAGGAGTGCAGAGTGCAGGGGGTTGGACTAGATGACCTGCAAGGTCCCTTCCAACTCTAATATTCTATGAAAGCCTCATAAGTGACTGCCGTGAAGTTCTGGAGCGGAGGACAAACGACATGAGGTCAGAGTGAAGGAGGAGGACAGGACTCCTGCAATAACCACCCTCCTGATGCATTCCAGCTGCATAACCCCCCTTCCGCACCATGGTGAAGAAGCCCAAGCAACACCACAGAAAAAAGGCATCTTTTATCGCTGGGCTTCTAGAAGTAACAGCCGGAAAAGTGGCACACAGGGGAGGTGGAGTCTCAGACCCTTCCCCGGTATTCTCAGGGTGCCCTCTGGCCACACACGACATAGCGGCGCTCCAAACAAACTTCCGCCAACGTTCACTCAACTAAGTGCTAGGTATCTGGCATGCTACATGGAGAACGGCACAGATGCTTTGTGCTCCATTTGCATCGGGGAAAGGCTCCTTTGGAATCAAGAAGAGTCACTGAGAGGCACGGCACTGTTACAGAAATGAAGTGACAAAATAACGGGAAGAATCCCATTTAAGCCAGAAGTTCCCAAACTTATTTGGCCTACCGCCCCCTTTTCAGAAAAAAAAAATATTACACAGCGCCCCCTGGAAATCTACCTTAAAGAAGTGGACAAAAAGATGCAGTTTGTGGATCTGCACCTGGATTGTTCCAGCCCACCTGGATCGTTCCAGCACCCCCCAGGGGGCAGTATTGCCCACTTTGGGAAACAGCGATTTAAGCACTCTAGAAATACTGACGGCTACCGACGGATTGCCGTCCATAAGGGCAATCCCTTCCCACTTCTAACCTTGGCAAGCTCTCAGATGAAAGTGCATTTCTATTATGGCCTGCTGGCCCTCAAGACCCCACCCCCAAACACACATGCTATTTACATACAGAAGCTCTTCCATCTCCATCCCAGCCCGGTTTATAACAAATAACCCCAGAACAAGCTTTTCCTACTTAGCATTAGACTCTGGTGCGCTCGAAGGCCGGGCTGCAGGCAACGCTTCCTTTGCGGACGCGGTTCCAGACATCCCCGTGTTCTCTTGCTCGCTGGCCAGTTTCAAGGCCTCTGCCGCGTAGTACGCTGCTTCAGCGTTGTCATATAGGGGCTTATTGAGCCACAGAGATTCGCTGTCCTTGTGCATGAAATACCAGGCAGATGGCATGCGAGAAACGTCTTGAGACGTGGCGATGGAGGCGGTGGAATTCCCTCTCTTCCCTGCACTCCGGCTCTTCTTGTCTTTGCGGCTCCTCTTCAGGGACTCCGGCCGCCCACGCTCCTGCAACCTCACCTTCCCAGGCGGGTGCCCGTCAAACATGTTTGCATAGAAGCTCCTCTCTGCGTCGTCGTAGATGGGTTTCTCCAGCCAGACTTCCGAAACCAGGGCCTGTAGGCCGGCCATCTGAGGTTTGCCGTTCACCGTCTGGTTCAAATCACCAGGCGCACTGGGAGAGACGAACGACGTGCTGGTGCAAACCGCAGCCTCTGTGGACTCGGCTGGTGTCGAAGGAGTAGGCAGGGCGGTCCCGTAGCCTTCGTCCGGCGTTTGCTGCTCGACGCGGTCCTTGTGGCCTTGCCAGGGCGTCGAGGGGAGGTGAAGGACCTGCGGCAGAGCCGTCCACTCGCATTTTTCAACAAACGTCTTCTCGGCATCATCAAAGTTGACCTTGTTGACCCAGATGTCCTGGATCAGGTGATGACAAGCGATCAGGCCGCCGTGGGAGCACTGCAAGACCGCCAGGTTCCTTCTCGGCGGGATGCTCCCTTGAGGCTCAACTTCGGACCAGGGCACCAAGGCAGACTGCTCGGCAGCCCGGGGCGCCTCGGAGACCGCCCACAAAAGTGCATCCGCAAGGTTCTTCCGGTAGGCGGCTTCTGCCCGATCGAAGAGAGGCTTGTCAAACCACACGCGGTCAGATAAGAGGCCTGTCAGGACGACGTCCACTCTGGGCTCCAAAGAGCCGGCTCTGGGAGAACCCTTCCTCTTCTTGTGTCTCTTGCCGCTCCCGGCTCCGCACGGCTCTCCTTTCAGCTCCTCCTCACCAGGTTCGTCTTGGCAGAAGCCGTTCACGGCCACCAGCTCCTGGCAGGCGGAGGCTGCCAGAGTCGCTTCCCGCTCGTAGTGGAGCCTCTCGGCCTCGTCGTACCTGTGCTTGTCCACCCAGACTTTTTCTGCCGGACACAGCGGCTTCCTTGTCCTCATCTTCCCAAAGGCGGCAGCGTTAAGAGACAAGCACAATGGTATAGTTGCAAGAATAAGACAGTCGCTAATGGCATGCAAGAGGACCTCGCCCTTTCAGGAGCTCAGGTTCCGCTGATGCAGCTCAATCAACGGGACATGAGATGCAGTGGGGCTTTTCTTGGATGCACTGACGACATAGAACACAGCTACACAATCTAATATTGTTTTGTTATTGTCGCATGTGAAAAACATACACACAATACAGCCTACACAATAAAAAAAAAAAGAGTTTGGCACTGAGCTGTCAGATATGGACCACCAGCAGTGTTCTCTCTAAGCTGAGTCAGTGTGAGTCAGCTCACAGATCTTTAGCCTCCGGCTCACAGATTTTGGTCTTCGCTCGGGAAGGACGGCTCCAGAGCAAACTAATTTATGCAGTAGCCAAATAGCTCACTGACAACTTTAATGCCAGTCGCTCACAAAGTAGAATTTTTGCTCACATGACTTCCACAGCTTAGAGAGAGTGTTCACCAGTAGTAAGAACAAGGGTGGGACACTGTCCTGTCTTTAGTGTCGGAAGGCAGCCATGTTGGTCTGTAGTAAACAGTGAGATTTGAGTTCTGTAGCACCTTACGGATCAACTAGGTTCTCAGGATAGAGCTTTCAAGAACTAGAGCACCGATTCAAAGGGGAACTTTGATTCCTGAGAACTCATGCCCCCCCAAAAAATCTTGTGGGTCGCAAAAGTGCTACTTGGACTCAAAGCCAGCCGTCTGCCCTTAGGAAAGCACTGTCTGCTGAAGTGTGCTTGCAGAAAACGGCAGACACCACAGCTACATTCACACAGCAAATTGGATCACAGTTCTGGGGAAAAGGGCACAGACCCAGCTTGTTGCTGGGCTCATGTGGACACCCTTGTTCCTCCCCCTTCCGTGCAATCGCACAACACGACAAAGGAACCCCAGCTAGAAACTCCCCCTGACACAAAAGCTTAGTTAGGCACGCAGGTTAAGTGGAGGTCGGCCACCTTCCCGTCTCACTTAAGATTCTAAACCTAAACTGACTTTAGGTTAGAATCTTGGATGGGAAGCAAGGGGGAAACTACAGTTAATCTGCACGCCCACGTTTGTGTAAAATGGAAAGCAGGAGCCAGTTTCTAACTAAGATCCTGTGCAAGAAAGGAAGGGGGAGACGCGCACGTAAACCTGGCAACAAGGTGGGTTTTTCAGGCACGTCTCAACCTGAACAAAGGCGCTGGCAAACAGTTTTTCCAATCAGTTTAGAACAACATGCGCCTTCTGTAAGAGGGATCCAGCGCAAATTTAGCACAGACAATTAGGATCCATCTGTGATGCTCAAGAGACGTAATATGAAATGCCTGGACCAAATCCTTTAAAATGATGGCTCTTCATTGTGTTTAGGGAAGCTGCCTTGGAAACCACTGGCCTGGCAGTTCTGTGCGGGATAAGACTTTTTAAATCTAATCCACGTGCTCATCCCAACTGCACTGAGGATTGGCACAGAGAAAGTTAAGGTACTCATGGTGTGTGCCTTACTATGTACTACTGGTCAAGTTGTCACTTCTACAATATATTGTTACTATGTACTAGTGGTCAAGTTGTCACTTCTACAATATATTGTCTTTTCTTTTCTTTTTTAAGAAGAGAAGAAGAAGAGACTGGATTTATACCCCGCCCTTCACTCGGAGTCTCAGAGCGGCTTACAAACTCCTTTCCCTCCCCTCCCCACAACAGACACCCTCTGTGAGGTGGGTGGGGCTGAGAGAACTCTGACACAAACTGCTCTTTTTCAAGGACAGCTGTGCCAGAGCTTGTGAGTCTGACCCAAGGTCACATTAGCAGGTGCAAGTGGAGGAGTGGGGAA